GACAACCAAACTAATAAAATTCACAACTGGACCTTTAAACCGTGAGAATATTGACAAACCTGCAGACAATTTATTTTTAGATTTATGGAAATGTCAATGTTACATTGTTGGCAATCCAAATCAATGCGGCACGGGGAGTATTTAAACCAAAATTGTAGAACAGATCGTCACAAACCTCAGATAGCTAGAGTAACAGCGGGAGAAATCACAGATTATAATATTGGAATCCATTCCGATACGAGCGTCAAGGTATGTATTACATAATTTGTTTTTAATCTATGGCTTGTGGCGTTGGAACTTTTGTGGAAGATTTTTCACATGAAAGGAAATTTATAAGAATTCAGCTTTCGCTTTTGAAATACTTGATGAAAAGGCTATTGTATACTGCTTTACGTCATTTGTTATAAACTCCAACTCAATATGTCCCAAATATATTTCCTTCTTTAATTTGACCGCATATCAAACATTATAGAGTTCAGATTTTCTGAGACTTGTATACATTTATTTCCTCTCTTTATCCAGATCAAAATTGCCAAATGTGTATGTGTGTGTGCGCGCAGTTTAAAACTCAATTTTGCTCAATTCAAAAATTTGTTTTATCTATACAACTAACCGATTTAAAACTGTAAAAATACAACGGAATAAAATACAGGCTTTCAGCTTAAGAAAAGCTCACAATACGGTGAAATCGCGATGTATCTTATATAGTCTTGTTTTGGGAGTCGTAGACTAAACAAAAAGTCAGTGTGGATATGGGTTGGTATTTCACAACTGCTGACACTAGTCTTTGACAAATTACTTCCCAATAACTAGCAGGTAACTTCATACCAATGTTGGGCAACATGCCCAACAGTTCTTTTTACCCAAACTCTTTATGAAGTGTAAATGACAATCAGAGAAGTTTCCCAAAATCTTCCTTCCTGTATTAGGACTCTCAGAATGAAGGGGGCTGTTATTTTGGCCATGGTCCTACTCGTCGTAGCAAAAGCCTACGCTGCAATGTTCATGGTGGCTGACAGTAAGCATCTCGGCCGGTCTTTCATTTATTTATAAATGTAGCCGTTAGTTTTTGTCTCTTTCCCGCCACAAAGTTACAAAAGTTACATTAATTAAAGCTGCGTCCCCGTGCTCTTTTTGAGTTACAAGCCCTTCCCCCCCCCCCACGCCAATAAAATTCTTTTCCAAATTGCTATTTTTCTAGCAATACAAAAGTTATTCACTTGTGAATAAGACATTGACCGGAAAAAACCCGTGTTTTGAATTATTAATTTGCAATTACGAAATATTGGTTGCCAGGCCGTGCTCGTGGCGTAGCTGGTTATTGGGATTATCGGGATTTAAGCCCATAAGCGGCACCCTAACCATCCCGAGTAAGCCCCCCCCCCCTCTCAAACAGATCAGTCTGATATCCAAATTGCGATTTTCTTTTTTATTAGACTGAATTTCTGGGAATAAATTTCAAGTTTTGAAAAGGTCCCTCTTCGTTCCCATATCAGTTGACTGTACTCCGGGAAAGGGGTTCAACTCTTCGGATGAATTCGACCTCCCGCCATGCTACAAGTGCAGCTGTTTTCAGATGTCCGAAGGCATGGCAGGCGCAAGTTGTCATGGAACATAAGCATTTCATTTCTCTTAATATATGCCTAAGCTATTCAATTTCTAAAGCATGCACCGCCCGATGGTAATGTTTTAAAACGTAGGTAGAATAACACGCAATGTCAGCCATTTTGCAAATTTGAAAATTGCTTGTTATTCTACTATATTTTTTCAAAAGACAAATCTGCAATGACCATATAGCCAAATATCGTTTTAAGACATAATCTGTGTGCCAAGTGCCATGCTTTTATCATCAAAGGCACAATTGCCCCAAATATTTCCCCTACTGCCTCACTATATGTTCGATATGATGTCATCCATTAGAAATTTTTAATTCAAGTTTTATAGCCTTCCTAAAAATGAAACTTCCATTGATTTTGGGTTTTTTCAGAGTGGGATACGGTTTATTTTCTTTCTCCATTCGCGCCAGTATACTGACACGCATTCCCGCAAATTGTTTGGTTGGCAGTCACAATGAATGATGCCGTAAAAGACAATGTTCAAATAGTTAGGTGACGTGACGTCATCTGCACGTCCTCTATCCTATCCCGTCATACAAAAATCAATGAAAGAAGTTTTTTAAATGCGAGTTGTGAATCAGGATCACATCCAAATACATGTCCACTTTTAAATGAAAAGTTTGCGAAAACACCATGTGGGAATAATTTACCAAAGAGAATGGTTCTAAATAGAACCAGAGGTATACACTCGACGTTCTTGTCAGTATGTTCTGACCGTCTTCAGGAGAGTGAAGACGGTCAGACCATACTGACTGGAACGTCGAGTTTATACCTCTGGTTCTTTTCATAACCATTCTCTTAGTTTGAGAAATTTTTCCCACATGATGTTTCCGCAAACCTTTCATTCATTAGTATCTCCACCACGCAAAGCCTCAAATCTCACTTATGTCCACTTTGTAGATGTATTCAATCTGCATCCTTGAGATTCCTACTTCCAATATTTTTAAATAAATATATCAATAAAATCATTTGGGTTATTTTTGGTGAACCGATTCTTCGCAATCCCCTTTCCCACTATCAATCAACAGGCTTTTTCTTTCTATTCTAACGTTGGCGCTGCCCTGTTCTCGTTATTTCCAGGGTAACCGTTCCTAGGGAATATGACTTCGAGAACTGCGAATCAATCTTTGACGAAGAAAAGTGCCTGTATACCGTGACAAGGAAAAACGACACAGACATAGCGTGCGAGGTTTACGCAGCTGTAATCAACTAAGGCACGACTTTCATTTTGCATTATGCTGGTTGGTTGGTTGGCCGCATAAGATCCAATGGGGATCATGCTACCGCTCCTTGGGCTGATTGTTTTCGGCGCGCCCGTCCTTCCTAGCGCCACTTCTTCTCCGCCGCATCTGCTCCCTCATGGACTGCTTTCCGCCACGCTCCCCTCACAGCACATAGCTCCTCCACTCCGCGTTCCTTGATCTGGCAGTGTCGTAGGTCGTCCCGCACGCGGTCTTGGAAACGGAGTAGAGGTCTTCCACAGGGTGTCTATGCAAGCAGATATCCTTTTAATTTAGAACCGCGCCTGTAGCTATTGTTCCGATAATCCGTCACAGTTGCTTTTGTACAATAGCATGCACAATGATTTCTACATTGAACTTGAAGGGGGCCTCGTCAGCGTACAATGATCACGTGTAGATTTGTCTATAGGTAGGCCTACACTGGTTGTAAGCGTCAAAGTGCGATTGCTGCTTTTGTTTAACCGAATGCTCATGCGATCATTGATCATGGCCATAAGCAACACACAGTGCTTAAACTTATCTTCAGAAATATTGTAATGAAACAGCATTAGCCATTACCTGTAAAGTTGGGTACGGTACTCGGGTGGATGTAGCTTTGGCTAAAAGAGCGGGGGGGGGGGGTCACTGACAAGAGGATTGGCGGTTTACAGGCACGTGCTACTTTTTCTTCATGATTCTATTATTTTTTTTGGAAGCCCAAGGGAGGGGGTTGACAGACCAACACCCCCCCCTTCCGTAGACTCGCAACTGGTAATTATGACCAAATAGATAAACCAGTGTATGAGTAATCTGAGTTTATAAAGACAATACTTTGAACCTCAAGTTGTCAACAACAAAAATCTGCAATACAATGGGAGTAAAAAAATCATAATTGTATAAGTTGATGCAGTACCAAAACCCAAGGTGCACAATCCCTTCAAGACTTCAAAAAATCAGCAAACTGGACAAAAGTCATAAAATACTTAATATTTGCAGCAAACAGAAATAGGCAAATGCTGGTTTGTGTGAACACTAGAATGATCAATCGATAGAATGGTAAATTCCAGCAGGTCAATAGGGTAATAAAAAATAGCAAGGTTTTAAAATAAACTCACAAACTATGGCACATAAAACATATGGTTGATGCTGTACAATCTGTCTGATTGGTTTTTCTTTTAATAGATTTCTTGGCCCAAAGTCCAGCCAGCATTGCCTTTCGGATAAATAAGAGCAGTACATGTATTTAGTTATTTTGGATTTAAGAAATGAAAGACATTTTCATAAATTCTGTGTCAATTTAATAGTCAACTTTGATGAAAATGCAAATTAAATCTCCCCCAAAAAATGGTAACACTAATTCTAATAAATGTCACATGATATTTTTTTTTTTTTTTCAAATTTCTATTTTCCAAACTTCGTTGAACTTGAGGATTGGCTACTTTAAAAACAAAATGGTTCAGTGGGCCATTATCATAGACAACTGTGGAGGGGAGAGAGAGCGCTACGCATTTGAAGAAATACCCTGCTTTTTTAAAGAAGATTTTGCTCCAGACTTTAGGATCCCAAGCTATTGAAAATGATAAAGATGGGAGCACTTAGTTTTGAACACTGGCTCAAAATGATGGGCCATTCAGAGTCTGATAGTGGCCAGTGCATAGATTATCAGACTGACATATGATGCAGGGGTCAACCTAATTTAGATATCCACGTGCATACCAATAGCATATGGTGTTAAAGAGGTTGTGGAATGCTCGAAGACATTTCCGTCATTTTTCGGGTATATGTAGCCTAAGGTGTGATGAAATAAAAACAACTATTGTTTCTGTCGTGAAATGAGTGCAAAAGGTACTTTTGAGAGCTGTTTTTCAGGTCCAGTTTCGACCCGAACGTGCAATTGTGTAAAAGTCGTCGTTGCGGGCAGCAAACAAAACACAGTAAATCGTGACGTAATAAACAGGACTCGTGTATGCTACTGTGCATCGGGAGTCCTGTTTATTACGTCACGATTTACTGTGTTTTGTTTGCTGCCCGCAACGACGACTTTTACACAATTGCACGTTCGGGTCGAAACTGGACCTGAAAAACAGCTCTCAAAAGTACCTTTTGCACTCATTTCATGACAGAAACAATAGTCGTTTTATTTCATCACACCTTAGGCTACATATACCCGAAAAATGACGGAAATGTTTTCGAGCATTCCACAACCTCTTTAAGGGTGAAGTCCGAGTGTGAAGTGATTTTCATCGGGTCAGGTTGACGAGGCTAAACCGACCAGAGACATTTATTTGATAAACCAAATCAGAGCCGAAACCGAACTGGACTACCTAAAACCGACCCGACCTGATAACAATACAAAGAAAACCGACCCGAACCGAGCCGAAACCAAACCAACCCGAAAAAAACACCGAATATCATGCTTCGGCAAATGTGTCCGCTTTTTGCGCCTGAACTGACCCGCTTCGTGTAAAAAAATGTCAGCTTTCAGTAACTGAATCATGCCGTGTGGTACTCACAATGTGACCTACTGGACTACATATGTTATAGACCGATCCAGCCAGACTGCAAACCATTTTCAGTCGCACTGCGCGCAGTGATTCTGCACTAAATAGTGCACCATGTGAATTTCCATTCAGCTTCGGTTCATTTTGGTTTATTTCAGGTTTTTCCAAAATGGCTTAACCGACCCGACCGGAAAATTGCAAACGCAAAACCGAAACTGACCCGACCCGACTAACATGATGGACAAACTGACCCGACCCGACCCGAAGTCGGTTTCGGGTTGGGAGACATAGGCCAATCAAACTATAGGGAAGGTGGCACAGCCGAGACGCAAAGCAACCAATATTAGATATCAGAAGCACTAGGCCATTGCCTGTCCGAAGATCAGGTCTTCAGGTCTTTGGTCTGGGCAGTTCTTTGCCCCCACTCTCAGAAATGTTTCACAGCTGCTGCCTTAATACTCCTCAACAAAACAAGAGACCTAGTTTGTGACAGCGTTCGTTGGTTCCGTTCATTCTGTGAGAGTCTTAATGTGTTGAAGGAGCTCATCGCAGAGCAAGAAGCTGCGGTGTTTGTGTCGGACCGTCTCCACCTCCTCTTGGAGGAGCTTGGGGTGCAGAGGGGCTGCCTGCTTCAGTATGTCTGTGGGAGAATCAAAACCACTACAGGGATGAGACGGGGAGGGGGTGAGAATCCACAACATAATTGGCAGAGGGTTTGGGGCCATTGAGGGCCACAGAGTAATGTTTGTATTCGCCAAAAAGCACCCTAAAACTACCCCATTCTTTTGTTCGACATTGACATTGATACATACAGAGAACTTGAATCTCACAAATCCCAGATTTCAAAGGGATTTTTTTAACAATCCTGACAAATCTCAACCATGCCTATCCTTAATTAAGGATAGCAGTTAAATTGTGGAGTTGAAGATATTGTCCTCAAGCAGCTTCTTATCCATGAGGCTACACAAAAAAAGCAGATTTTTTTCTGATCCTTTTTTGCCAATAATGTCTTTGAACTCAATTTTGTTATAAAATTTTAAATTGACTACCTCATATGTAAATCATAGCCAACACGAATGACAAGTTATACACTTTGAAATTATTTGGGAAGAAATAGCTTGTTCCATATGTAAATTCTTTAAATATTAAGGAGAATGGATCATTTAAAAAAACACATCAAATTCCCTAAACACATGTTACTATAAATTTTCAGTTATAACCGATAAATTGCTTAACGTTGTGGGAGACTGAAATTTACCAAACTCTCTCAGTCCCTGAAACGGGTCGAGCCTTACCTAGTACAGCCTGCTGTATATTTGGATCCGGGTCATCCATGTGGACCAGCAGGCCTCTGTACAGCGTCTCCAGGTGCGCCCGGTACAGAACCCTGTCGTAGTCGGCAGGGAAACACTGGAAGAAGGTCTGGAACGTCTTGGCCACGGCGACGCGTATCTCGTCGCTGCTGTCGTCCATGCGCTTCAGCAGCTCCATGTACATGGTGTGCAGGCGGTCCGGGTCAAAGGTCGCGCCGCAGAGGGCCAGGATCTTGCGGAAGACGCGGCAGGTGATGAGGCGGGTGGAGCGGCTGTCGTCCTCGAGGAGGGAGGTCAGTTGGGTTTGAAGGTCATCCATCACGCTGCTTACCTGAAAGGTATCAATTTATGTTGAGTCATGAAAAATCAGACTTTTATGTGTCAAGGCGATGTAATTCGTTCCTCAAATATAGGGTTTTACCCCAAACTGACGTAAGGTTCTAAGCACTGCACACAAATTGCCTTTTTGAACCTGTGAGAATCAAGTCAGAAAGTCACTCAATTTGACACTACAACATTTTTGTATCTTAAGTTTGTTATAACAGAGGGCCAGAACCTTGAGTGGATGAACTATATCCTTACAGAGGTAAAGTCCAATGCACTTCACGTACATGTAGAGCCCGGTTCACACTTCATGCGAAAATGAAAGCCAAGCGAAATTTGTGACATCGACAATACGTTCAAAGCGCGTCCACCATTGTTGACGACATGAATTTTGCTTCGCACTTGCTTTCGCGTTAAATATGAACCGGGCTTAATGCCAAGACAAAGTCAAAATGAAGACCTTCACATTCAGATCGCATCTTTTTTTCTTATTTAAATGTTAGCTAATAATAGAGTCTGTATCACCCACTGTCTGTGGCCGTTTTTAGAATTCTGTTGCATTGTGTAAAACAGCAGTTACTGTGACTTGAAAATTCAGTGCAAATTGAGGTTGGGATTTGGGTTGGGGTTTGGGTTGGGGTAGTTTGAACAGTAAAAACCCGAGCACTTTAGCGCTTTTGACCCTAACTCACTTGTTCAGCAGTCAGCAAGCCACTCTGCAGCAGCGCCCAAAGACACGATATGCCAGTGGTCCGAATGGCGGAAGCCGTCCTTCCGCCATGCCACACGCAGTTGGGTATGACCATCTCCCTGACCACTACTAAGGAGAAGTCACCAAATCTGGCCTTGGCTTCGGGCGACTCGCCGGCTTTCATCACCAGCCGCGACAGGAGAGAGAAGAACTTGAGACGGAGTTCCGGGTCCTTGTCGGTCTTGAGGTTGGCTTGCAAGACGGGGAAAATGTCGTCGAGGAGCTCGATGACCAGCACACCTGATGATGAAGATTGTATTAATTTTTGAATGAAAAAGTTAAAATAGATTTGATAAAAAAAATCTATTTTGCAGAGTGAAACTTGAAATAGCACGAGGAATGCATATTTTAAGAATTATGGTGGAAACAAGTCACTTAGGTGGGAGTGTGGACTAGTGGCTAGGGTTCGTGACTCATGATCAGAGGATCAGGGGTTCGACTCCAGCTGCTTGGCCACATGTTGTGTCCTTGGGCAAGCCACTTCACCCCCACTTGCCTCTCTCCATCCAGGAATATAAATGGGTACCGGCATTAGCTGGGAGTAAACTGTGATGGACTAGCATCCCATCCAGGGGAATAGAAATATTCTCAGTCGTTTCATGCTACTGAAACCGGAGATAAAAGCCGGCCTCATGAGCCACATTGGCTCGTGACAGACTTTACTTACAATTTACTTACCAGATTCCGTAAGCAAAGTGTCAAAGATTGGCCGCTCCACTGAGAAGTTCGTCCACTGCTCGTAGTTTCCCTTCAGCAAGTCAAGCATCTGACGGCTGTGCTGCCTATAGAGGGCGCTGCTACTCTCCATGCCTTGTACTTGGGCGAGGGACTCTATGACGTCTCTGGTCTGCGGTTAAAAAAAGGGTGTAATGGACTTTATGTCATCTTTATTGTTGACAAATGATAAAATAACCCACATAGACAAATTGACTAGGTGTACTTTCTGATCAATATTAGGTTGATCAAGGGAATTGACTGGAACATGATTTAAAATCTGTAATATTGACCCATTAGGAGACCAAAAACAACATTGCGTCAATGGGAGACTGCCCACCTATGGCTGATATCTTGGTAAAACCAGTGCCACAGGTTTAAATCCACTTCAACTTTATATTTTTGTCAACAGAGTTGATACGTTCTTACAAATTCAGAAAGAAGTGGTAAGGCGATTGGACTTTCCATCACACTGAATTTTGAAAGTTGGATTTTACTGCAAGACAGCCTCTAAAATGTAGCCTTTTAGTCAGTGGTGAAATAGGTTGTGACTGTTCTGTAAACTTTAGCAAGTGTTTCTAACTCCAATCATCACTGTAACAGATAATAAAAAGTTTGATTGGGACAAAAACAAAAAACCAAAATTCCAGTACTGATATACCTTATTTTTCAGTGCATCGTCCCTCTCCAATGCTAGCACAGTTACAAGCACCATGAGTAATGATAGGCTGACTTCGCTGCACTGCTCCTTGCTAGTACCCATGATAGCTTCAATGCAGGACACCAGATGAATTTGGTAGGAATGCTGAAGAAGATAAAGCAAAAATCACAAACAATTATGTGTCAGTTTGAACCATCAAGACTTATATCTGTTGTTGAACACTGTGTTGTTAATTAGGTCCAATTTCATGGCTCCGCGAACCACAGGATTCCGTGCTTACGATCACCACTTTGTGCTAATAGCGCTAGCAGAAACATTTGGTGCTTACCCGGTAAGCACAGAATCCTTAGTTACGGGATGTAGGCATGTTCAGAAACCAAAATTCCTCGCTAACCCATGAAATACGCTGAATAATACAAAATATTTATATGGCGCTATACGATGAACAGAGCACCTTACAATAACAAAGAGGGGAGAGATGTGAACATGTACACAATGCAAAAACCAAACCCACAATTACGAACTAACAAAGTAAACAAGCATATCAGGAAGGTTTTGGGAAAAGAAATGTCTTGAGGAGGCGTTTGAGGACAGGCAACGAAATGAATTCTTTGTTTAACAGGAAGCCAATGCAGCTCTGCCAGCAGGCTACCAGAAGGCTGGTCCCATCCACATGCCAAGACTAGCCGCGCTGCCTTATTTTGCAGGCGTTGTAGGCGTTTCAGGTCAAGTTCATGCACTCCAAACAAAGTAGAATTGGCGTAGTCAAGGCGGGAGAGGACCATACTTCTGACAGCATGATGGCAGGCTTCTTGTGTGAGAAATTGGCGTGCAGGCTCTGACCTGTTCGCCGCGGCAGACTTCAGGATCCACCAGCACGTCGCACACGCTCTGCAGCTGTGGATGGAAGCCTTCCTGCGTGGATCCACGGATCAACGCAGCCAGCGTCATCAGCACGCCTGGACTCTGAGCCAACTGCACAGTTGGGGACATCAACTTCCAGTAGATGGCTGGATCCACAAAGAAGCCCACCAGCTCTGCAGACTGGAGTATCTGTATTCGGTACATCACAAACAAACAAACCATAGAAGAAATTGTACGGCAAGATTACCATATGTGAAGTTCACTAATTTTCCTCTGTATTGACTAACAAGCCCCCAGATAGCAATTTCATGTCATCAAAGTCAATTTGAGCAGTGAGAAAATACAAGCATTTTCTTAGAAAACACTTAGAAAATTTTTCAGTCCACTCTCATAGGGTTTGTACACAGAGTGTTGAGTGAACTTCGTATATGGAAATCTGTCCAATTGTACCCTTGAAAATCAGCTTTGACTACGGCCGTGTCCGAAACGGGCATCCAGAGCTACGGCTACGTCTATTGTCAGCGCGTCCCCGCGTATTGCGAATGGGCGCAGACCTAGACCTAGCTCTAGACGGCTGATTCGGATGCAGCCTTAGGGATATTTCAAATTGTAAGTTTACTCCGTCTACTTGACTTGCTTTTATTGCGCTGATTATCATCCTAGATGCAGTGTGATTTGGCAACTTTATGAAGGTGACTCGAAATCTAGTAATATAAATTTTTTCTTTTCAAATTTTTTTTAACTTTCTGTTGTTCACATGCTGTTGCCTCTTGTTGTTGACTTAATTCAGGCCGAGAGTACAATGCTCTCGGTTATTGTCCGAAGCATTTTAGTTATGACTTTTATTGAACTTTATGCAAAAAAGTCTGTGATCTCTGTACTTTCGAAAGAAAATGTGTAAAAATCACATAACTGTATATGAATTTTAGATGTGCCAATAAATGGTTCAAAAACCTTCTTAATCTGTAACCCTTCAAAATTTTGATTACTAAGAATTAAAATGGTAAGTACTGCGTGTACCCTCAAAACACTGAAGGGATACAAGACCTGTTGGATACAAGACCTGTTAGATCTTGATACACTGGGCAGGTTTATCAACCATCCGTGCATACTGTACCTGCGTCACAACCTCTTTCTCCTCGTCGCCACAGGCCTTGTACATTCCCGACAGCAGCTTCTCCATGTGCTGGGTGGTGTGGTCCTCGGCGTTCAACAGCAGCATCCGCAGCAGTTTGGCCGACATGATGCGATTGGAGGTGGTCCAGTCAGTCAGGTCGTGGAGGAGCCCCGGCAGGATCTTGGACAGGTTACGGAAGATCAGGGTGCGGCAGCCCAAATTGGGTCTTTTGGCTACAGATTCCATGGATAACAAAGTTGGAAATATTGTTAGTATTTACGCAGACTGGGACCTGGAGTGTTCTTAAACGTGTAAAACTAAATCAGGCCAACTTTACTCACTCTTCAGCCAGCCAATTTCTCCAAAATTTTCGTTGGGCAAAGAAAAGGGCCTCAGTGTTTCACCAACCAAGTTTGAAGACTCAATCTAATTTTTAAAGGAGACATTTCTTAAATATTTTGCACATGAGAGGGAAGTCCAATCATTTCAAAATGAGACTAAAGACTACACTGGTATGTCCAACTGTTTGAAAAGACTGACCTCTTCATTCAGTGTCATTAGTCTGGTGACTGACTATGGAGAAATGTGTCGTAAATAGAGACTAGTTCCTAACTTGCCACATGTTTCTTTTGGCACAGTTGATTGATGCAGTACTGAAGCTGTTTTGGACTGGTTGTTTTAGGTGCCAGTCTATTTTCTTGTTTTGCATGTTTTCAATACCTTACGTTTTGGGACTCTCATACAGATCAGTATGTTATTAATGTATTAGATTTACGTAGGAACACAAAAATACAAGACCAGGATCAAAGCAACTGACTGGTCATCGGAAAACGTACTTTCTCCAGGAGGTAACTTGACATATTTTCCAAAGTCCATCTGGTCTTTCAGTTCTTCTTCATTCTCCTTGGCATATTTGTCTCCAATATCATCCCAAAGTTTGAAAGCCTGTCGATGAGAAAGGTTAAAAAAAAAACACACACACACAGAATTAGAAATATTGAACAAGAATCAAACTTTTAAGTTCAATTGGGTTTTGACATATTAAAATATTTGTATACAAAAAACAAAGAACAATTGGGAAGCAATTATAAAATTAAAATTAACTTAACATTGAATCAAAATTGTCTTAGTGAATTTAAGTATTTTATCATATTATCACCGTTTGCTCGATATTTGTAATTTTTTATTTAGAACAGTAGCTTTATTTATATCCAGCCCTAGCGCCTCAGAAATTGTTGATTACATATTTCAAAACACAAGCACACAAGTTACAGCTCTTTACGGCCAACTCGCAGGCAACAGCTAGTCAGTTGGTCATCTACAGGTGAGATACAATAAAAGGCCTATTGTTTTCTCTTGGTACAGTTATATTCCCTCCTCCCCCCCCCCCCTTTGGTTCACTTATATCTTATTCCCCCCCCCCCCCCCCCAGAAATTTATGTCAGGCCATGGAGCTATAGGTCAGGCTGCCTTCGTAAACCCCAAAATGTCCAAGGAAATATATGATTCACCCTCTGCTGTATGTCTGGCAGTTCATCTGTCTGGCTGGTGAGTAGAAGAGGGATCAACTTATGATGGAAAGAGTACCGGTCAACAAAGTCCAGCAGCCATCCGCCCACCACATCAGTCACTGCTACCCGTACCTGCGGCGACTGGTCAAACAATCGCTGCGCAAGGTGGGATATAACCTTGTCCATTGGTTTGTGACTGCCGTACTGTAAAACATCACCGATTGTCAAGGTGCACTGCGTGCGAACTTTTGCGTGTTGGTGACTGATGCAATGCAGAAGTGGTGTGATGAGCGATTCGGACTGCATGTGGAAATGCTCAGGAATTGAACGCGCCACCAGACTTGTACACTTGCAGCTCTCTCTTCGGACATCCGGAAATGGATCGACGATAGTTCGTTGCAAAATTTTGACCAGGTCATCAAGATATGGCGCAATTTTCTTTTTTGTTAACTCGGAAAGCTTTACGAGTAAACTCACAAGGCTTAGCCGCAGTTCCTCTGATGTTTCAACTATTTCTTGGTTTCCTAATCGTTGCACGACTGTTGGCATAAGATACGGTAACGACCCCTCTGGCATGGGAACAGCGTCAAGAAATTCTGACACAGCATCAATGGCCAGTTCGCGACATCTCTCAACGCTGTCTGCGAAGCATTTCAACAGCGGTTTGAGTAAACTGTCGAAAACGCGCTGCAATATCTCGGGATCCAGAGCCGGTTTCTTGCCCAAAGTTTCCCTGCGGATGCTTTCGAGTGCCCGCTTTTTGGTAGCCCGGTTGTTTTCGGAGAGGCAGTTGATATGACGAGTTACTGCCTGAAGAATTTCCGTGGTTCTTGCATCAACACTCTCCACGTTTTCCGCCATTTTGTTGGTGACGACTCCTCGTTCGTAACTATTAGACATACCAACTTTAATATATACACTTCGGTTTAAATTGAAATTTAAATTTGAAATGAAAAAAAATAAAATTATAAATTGTATTCATTTTAACGTAATAAAAGTTTATTAATAATATTAAAAATTGAAAATTAATTTCTTTAGAAAAAAATATTACAAAATACAAGAGGCAAAAGTTAGACTGGTAACGTAAGCTGGCAACTAAATAGACTAGTAAGCAGGAAACTAACTGCAACCCCGTAGGGGGAGCTAGCTAGGCAAGCGCTCCAAATGAAAACGTCAGTGGCCCCAATATTAAAGGGAAAATACAACATTTGCAAACATCAAAAAACGAAATGATCAAATTATCACGAAATACCTTACTGAATTGTTATGGAATGACAATCTAAAGCATCCTGTAAAATCGTGGCTCCTGGTGTGCTGACATTTTATTTTTACAACGCTGGCAGCCGACCAGCCTTGGAGAAACTGGCTTTTTTTCAAAAATTGTTCTTGATTTAGATGTTACGAAACGGGGGCGGGGGAATCGGATGTCAGTCTCCGTCATAAAAAAAAATGGGGGGGGGCTGGGCCGGGCGGCCAGGAGGGGGATTATTGCAACTATTCAAAAATAAGGGCCCCACTTCCGCCGACCATTATTGTCTCCAAAATATATTCAAAATTTAATCAAATTAATGAGGATATTATGTCCTGAACCAAAAATGTAAATATTATGTAAAATCATGGAGGAATAAGAAGGAATTTAGAGCAGGCGCGAGTCACCATTGGTAATGGGAAAGCTGACAGGTTTTTGCCAGTACTAATTTTTTTCCAGGCTGCTCCACAAATTCTGAGTTCAATGGGGAGGATCATTGGCGTAGGCTATCCGGAAGCCGGCGGGACTGAGGGGGGAAACTCCCCCTCAGCGGATGATGTTTTATTTTTGTTTATAAAGAGAGGTCTGGCATGAACGACGAATAAATAAAGCCAAAAAAAACATAACAATGTGTCAGCTTGTCAGCAACAGAAAATGACAAAAGGTAGATTTTTGCAAACCCCCCCCCCCCCCCCTCACATCAAATGTTGAATAAGCCGCTAAGACTTTTGATTTTGTAACCCCCCCCCCCCCCCGGCCCTGCCCACTGACATCAAAAGCTGGATTTACGTCGCTGGGAGAGTTCAATTAGGTGTGGCCGTGCCATATATTATACGCTTTTTGTTAGCAAGGGCGTCAATTTTCACTTCTCAACGGTGGGGGGAGGGGTTATACCTTGAGTACTAAATGCGAGAGCGAAGCCCTAACGGCGTGGGGTTGGTTGGGGGCCCCAAAAATTGTGCTGTGGTGCAATCTGAGGCGGCACTGACTACTAAGATCATCTTCTAAACTGAAAGATCATCTTTTAAACATCATTTTCGAGTTTGGAATCATTGAATCAGCTATTCTGAGCTATAGAATCATTATAAAGGCTGCAATATTTATTCGGGGACGAAAAAGTGGGGGAGGGGGACAAACGATATGATCCCCCCCCCACTTTAAAAAGTGTGGGGGGTTGTCCCCCCCCCCCCCCCCCCGTCTCCCACCGATTGACGCCCATGCTCGTCAGTAGTGGCGCTGCTGTGCCAGTTGGAAGGAAAGAGAAGGAATTGCCTTCTTTCCGTCTATATAATTTCGGCAAATGGCACACCAACGTCATATGAAACTACTGAGAAGCATTATACTTTAAGTATAGTAGGGTTGGGGGATGGCCGGCACGACCATGCCACACCCCTAGACCCCCAAACGGCGTATCCAAGCTCTTGACGGTCAGCCGAAACGGGTGGGGGCCGGGCAAAATCAAAGTCTGGGCATTGTTAGTTCGACTTACTGAATGCAGAAACTTTAACCTGTACCTCAGCGTTTGTCACTGTACCGTCGAGTCCAGCATTCCCCGGTGTTGCCTTGACGACTCAGAATGAGGAAGGAATTAGGACATGCTTGTAGGGACTATGTACTAAATAATATTTAACTTACCATTTTGCCTCTGAAGCAGATCTTTTTCAGATCAAAACGTCAGACCGCATTAATTGTTTAGATTTGTACTAAATAATAGTTATTTAATAAAAAATTTAAAAAGGACAAACAATGCAGTATTAACTACATGTGAAATATAAGTAAATTTATGAATTCACCCATCATTCAGTAAAAGCAAGAGTGTGTGATGTCAAAAAATGAGGTAGGCAACCACGGTTCTAGAGCCTATATTTTAGGGGGGGGGGGCTAGCAGGGCCCTAGGGTGGATCCAGATATTTTTGCAGGGAGGAGGCGTGCTGAAATGTAGACCGCGTAAGTTTTTTTCTCCGGACTTAGGCCCACGAAAATAAATAGGTGATGGGGGAACCGTTAGCACGTGACGTCACCTTCTAACATTTGCTGTTGCCATTTTTTGTATGGGTTAAAGCCAAAGCCAAAGCCCCCCCCCCCCCCCCTAGAACCGCGCCTGAAGGTGGGTGACGTAATGTCAGTCGGTCTTGGGGATATACCCGGGAAAGTCCAGCAGGGATGAAGGGTTACATTTTTAATCATCAAGTTGGAACAATGAGGAAGTTCATGGCCTGCTTTCCCGGCCTTAATTCCACCGCGGAGTTCATTTCTTGGAATGAAGGGTCCGACGCCATATCAAGAAAATGCTTGCCAAAATCAATTAATGTGGGACACCTGTCACTAAATATTTTAATTCACTTTTATCTCGGGGAAAAAAGTCTTTTCATTTCCAAAATACAATTTACAAATCCAAAAGGGACGGTAAAAGTTTATGGAAAAAATCACATAAAAAAGCTAATTTGAACAGCATTATTGTAAAATTGACAGAAAATACTGCTGACCAAACTTAAATGCTCATTGTTACTTAAGAACAAAATACGGTAACAATAATTATGTCTATGATGTGCTGACCACAGACATAATCAACAGCATGCCTTGCACACACGAAATTACAGATTGGCAACATTCTTTTTGATCGCTAGAGGGCGTAGTTGTTTCCTAATCATGTTTACGTCGCTGCAAAGAAACCCGAAGTTCCGAATCGCCTAAATTTGACCAATTTGAACCGAATACAGGAACCTTCCATCGCATAGTTTTCTATAGCAGAGCAGGATGACGAATCATGCCAAGAAAGGTAGCAGAACTAGAGAGGGGTCTCCACGATCTTCGGATTTAACTGACACGGATCACCCATCACGACCGAAGCGAGCTCGACAGCAGTCGGGTACGGGTTCCGCGTCAAGCAGCGTATCCGGGTCAGCTGCACTGCCGCCGCCCCGTGGCGCAATGTCCTCGTCGACGGCAACTGGAGATTACGGTCTGTCTCAAGAGCAGACTGACAGTGACATGACTGAAGTGCGTGATTCTAGTGAATGCTCACTTACAGCTTTAGCGAAGCCGCAGGAAACCCACCGAAGAACTGGCGATATTTCGGACTCAAAAGACAAAATGAAAGACACTGCAACTAGAGGGGAAATCAGAATGTCTCCTCCCGAATGCCCAGCCTTGCCTCATGATCCCCAATTCGTTGCCATAGTAACTGTTGACGATGAACATGATGATGAGGGGAGAAAGGAGGAGACCTCTTGTAGTTCTGTAGATGATGGACATGTGGTCAGGAAATGGGTGTCAAAACAGAAGTCTAAAAACACTACATGTAAAAGCTGTATTTTAAGTGAGTATTTCCTTAAATTTTTATTATTATTTTAAATTTTTAATGTAACTTGTACGCAGTATTTCTACTACAGTTTTCTAATCCTTGACAATGTACATACATGTACATTTAATTAGGTGTTATTTCATTTGCTGTCCATACGTTTATGACAATTGCAGTTTTTTCCCTAAAAATATCTCCAGTCTCTCACTCTTTAAGCACAAATACAAAAATAAATTATTGGAAAAATATTTAAGTACTTAATTTTTTTTTTTTCACGGGGTTGCAGCTGCATGTTATTCGAATATTCATGTCTGGTGTTATGTCCTTATGTTTAGTTTGTGTGTGTAACTTGTAATATTTTTGTATGATTGTAACTGGGGATCTCTACTCGACAAGCATTGCTTTTTAGGGATCCCCATCCACATATTTTGCATACATTTAACTCTGATCGTCTTTTTTTATGTGGAAAATAAAGTGAATTGAATTGATTGAATTGATTGACAATATCTAAATAACTGATTACATTTTATCATTTTACAGTTACACATTGTAAAATTATTTGTAAACAATATATTTTAAATACCTTTGGGGCAATTCCACGGTAACGGAAGGATGTTTTCACTCATTAAACAAAATTTCAAATGTGTGTATCACAGACACTGTTCATAGTTACAGCAAACAAATGTCACAATTGTATTGCTATAATGCTACCTTCAATTTCCACACTTTTGGGGGGCATGAATGCCTCCCGTTTATGAATTATGAATATTAATGAGGTCGGTAACGGAAGGACGGTAAAACGGACAAGGGTTTTCCAACTTACTCGCATTTTGCGTAAACTCTGTGAATTTTATGGGGCAATTATATTTTAAAGGTAAGAAATGGAATCCCTGAAGCTTTATCTATACTACATGTATACCGCCTTTCATTTGACTTTAAGTGTTTCGGTAATATAATTACAACATTTTAAGCAGATTATAATTTGGTAACGGAAGGACGGTAACGGAAGGACAAAAGGTTTACTCAATTATAGCATGAACAAAATGTGAATTTACACTAATTATACAAGTGAAACAAATTGCTGAAATGTGTAACTGAATGTGAAATCAACAATATGCAGACCTGGCATAAATAATTATACCCAAGAAACTATTGAGATAAAGATAGAAGCCTGCTAATTAATGATAACAAAAGAAAAACGAAAACAACCCAAAACACATAATTCACGAACACAGGACTACTACAGAAATAGACTTCAAACCCATCACCTCAATCCTTAAAAGTTTAAATACACAGTATTTGAACTCTTGAGTATATTGGTTACATGTTCACCAACAACGTTTAATAATAATACCGGTAGGTTCAAAGGTTTACCTAAAGGGTGGGGGGGGGGCGACCAGCCTACATGTACATTTAAGGTAAAAACATCTACCGGTAGAACTGATGGCTTCAGTTAGGTGTTGCTTTTAACTGAACTCTAAAATCAATGTTTAAAATCAAAAAGATCAACCTTCAACATGGTTAACTAGTAACATGTAGATGGTGAAATTTCTTTTGGCTGAGAAGTGATCATCATCATGTAAGCAGAAATTCATGTGAGATCAAAGAATATATACATAAGGCCGAGCAAAAAACAAGTTTCTCGTCCAGGATTTTTAAACCAATGAAGGAAGCGAGTGGTTGTTTTTTTCAAGATTGGGGATATCCCAAGATGTCACATGGATTTTCCCATTTTCTCGACTCTTACTAGTCTTAGTCTTTTCCTGAATACAACATTGAGTCCAAAGGAGCAGCAACCCTTCTGAACTTCCTTCCTCCAAGAATATGCATAGCAACAATTTTGTTGGAAACAGATTAAACAGACATTTTTAAAAATGGACATTTTAAAAAAAAATTAAAATGGGGGCGGGCATGAAAAACAGAAGTGGGGGGGGGGGGACGACAAGAAATTGGTTTATTTTTGTAACTTGGCCTAAATGTACCCCTTGATAAAACCATAGTTTTTTTGCTGTATGGTATGAAATATTATGCTCAACAAGGACAAAATCCAACTCCTTACTAGAAAAGGTCTTGATACTGATAGGGAATGTAAATATTATGTAACAATGAGGAAACGGCTGTTTATTGTGCAGCACTTGTATACAGGATGTGTGTACTTAACCTAATACCACCTGCATATATGTATAAAGGTGCCTGGTATTTCTTTGGCAACAAGTGTTAGGAGAAAAGTGCTGTTTATCTACTACTATAATGCTGAAATCTCACTGTTTGGACATACATGTAAGTTCTAATCGTGAAAAAAGATGGGCATCCATGATAAGTTACAAGCGTTTGTGAGTCAAACAAATGAGCAGATCATCAGGATATTGAGAACGTGTATCCATGTGACAGTGGGAGCTAGAGACAGTAGCGATGTTGGAAGAGTTGGAAGAGAGCCAGATCTGCTGTCCAACACACAAAATAGTTGTGTTACTCTGTGTACATTATGTACGTGTACATGTCCAGTCCAAACGGATGGTGTTATCGGTGATTATTACATTCACATCCCCATTGTTTTGTCATGCAAAGTTCAAAAACAAAGTGAGTAAATACACATAGATGGTACTGTTTTCTTGAATTTCGAAATGTGAACACATTTTGGAAAGAGTTCCATACCTGGACGTCACTTGACACCCTCTGCACAAACCCTATGAGACTGGTCTGAAAAATTCCAAGTGTTTTCTCAGTAAATGCTTCAATATTTTTCCTGCTAAATTTGACTTTTTAGGACATGTTATCGCTTTCTGATGGCTGATAGGTCATTGCAGAGAAAATCTAGTGATGTCCATGTATGAAATTCTTCCCCAAATGTTTTCAATAGTAAAGTATTTTGTACAGCAGGGACGGATCTTACTTTCAGGAAGGGGTTGAGCAAAGGCATGCAACGGAGCAGCTGAACGAGGCAGTTTGCAACCCCAAACCCCACTCTAGATCCGCCGAGTACAGCTTTGTATTTTTAAATTCAGGCTTGCACATCCGTGTTTAACATTCGCTCTTTAGTGCTTCCTCTGCATCTTGACGATTTTGAACTTGCCAACAACATGGGCTCATTTTTTACATATAAAGTTAAGTCCATTTGCTCTAAATTGACCAGCATCGATCAATTCAGCTGTTGGTGTCAACACATATCTGTTAACACATTTGCCTTCCCATGTTTTATCCATTTTGATCTTCTCACCAAGGATTATGTGAGGAAACTTATTATTGGTTCTTCCAAGAAATCGTGTTTGTAGGATCCAATTCCAACTTATTTGTTGGTTGATAATTTGGATGTTTTATTTACCTTTCGTTTCCCGGATCATGAATGCCTCCTTAGAATCAGGTTGTTTTCCAAAACTTTGGAAGTCGGCAGTTGTGCTTCCTCACCTAAAAAAGGACAGGGTTGAAGGCCAAGGTCGAAAAGTATCGTTCAGTCAGCACTTTACAGTTCATTTCAAAGATGCTTGAAAAAAAAACTGTTTGCGACCAGTTACAATCACACCTTACTTTTCATTTATGATCATTTTCCTACATTTCAGTCAGTGTATCGTAAGTTCCGCATATAATGGCATTATTGAGAGTGAAAAACTATCTGTTATTGGCCATGCAACAACAAGCAGGTTACCTTGCTGGTTTTGCTCGACCTAAGCTCTGCTTTTGACACATTGGATCACAATCTCCTTTTGGACACATTATAAAGAACAAAGTTCAGATTCGATGGCAATGTACTCCAATGGTTCAGGTCATGTTTGTGTGGAAGATATCAATGTGTTTTGCTCAACAGTAAATTGTCTGATAAACACAACCTTGACAGGGGGTGTTCCACAAAGTTCCTGTTTGGGTCATGGTAATTTATTTTACGTATCATACTAGTGAGTTGTTTGACATTTTAAAAGCTCATCACCTTCTTTGTTATGCGGATGGCACATAGTTGTATATTTCATTCTCACCTGATGTAGTTAAGAGACAAGAGTCAGCTTTCTCTGTCATGGAATCATGTATTAAGGATGTACGCACTTGGATGTCTGCACATGCTGCAAGTGGGTTATTCTTAAATGATAGCCAATCTGAATTCCTGGTTATTGATTATCGTCAGCAGTAGGCTAAGGTTAAGATAGACAGGATACAGGTTGGGGGATCAGTCATCTGCCAAACCACTCGTAGGCAATCTCTCGCCTGGAACTTTGGAGCGTGGTTTGATGTTAATCTATGAAACTTGAAAGATCATGTGGTTAAAACATGCAATTCAGCTTTTTATTATCTTCATAACATGAGATCTAGGGTTTAAGTATTTTAACACATTATTGTTATCAATAATATAATTATTATTTCTTTTTCTGTTCAGGTTATCTTCTCTTTTCTATTTCAAGCTGCAAATTTGTTCTTTCACTGTAGCATTTTAGTATAAAAGACTTCCTTTTAAACCCTCCCACTGTTTAAGAGGCCCCTAATGGTCAACATGTTTGTATCTCACCTCCTGGCCTACTGTGTACAAACCAATGGGGGTCTTGACCAATCGCAATAACCAGGCTGACACTGCATGTTTCCATAGAAGGGTTAATCAAAAGTTTGAGTGTATAAAGTTTAACAAATTTCCAGCTGAAATGCGAAGCCTAAATAACATTTCTTTGGTTTCTTGTTGTGTCGTCTTCAAGGAGAACTAGACTGGCTTTGGAATGAGGAGGAGACATCGGATGCATGCGTTCACGTCTTGGGCAACAGCGGGGCGCAAGTGTTCTTTCATCAGGACTACAGCTGTGGCACTGCGGCGGCGCGGGGCACGCAGCCTATGTCACAGGGCCAGCATTTCTGGGAGATCAAGATGGACTCGCCCGTCTATGGAACAGCAATGGTAATAAGCCATTTGAAATACAATAAATTTGAAATGTCGGGACTATTGTTTTATTGAAGTTCTGCATGTAGCACTTTCAAAATATAGAATATGAAAGCCCAATTTTATAAGCTTTCTTTTAGTACAAGAATCATTCAAATCACTCAAGTACTTTTCAAGTTATCGAATTTTAAACACAACCACCGTTTTAAGGTTCTTTCCACAGATCCCCAAAAAGTCAGTGTTCTTTCAGCAAAACGAAAACAAATCACATGGGGATGTGTGTGAATTGTTTTCGTTTTGCTGAAAGATCGCACACCATTTTGTTGTGATCCGTGGACAGAATTTTATAACAGCGGTTGTGTTTAAAATTCCGTAACTTGAAAAGTACATGAGTGATTTGAATGATTTTTGTACTAAAACGAAAGCTTATGAATTGGGCTTTCATATCCTAGATTTTGAAAGTGCTACATGCAGAACTTCACTAAAACAATGGTCCCAACATTTGGGTTTTTTGGGTTTTTTTACTCACCCTGTAAATGACCAAATACCAAGGACCTGTACTGTTTCCTTGTTTTCCCATGGTTTGGACATAAATGTATAATATCTTTTTCTTGATATGCCCCATAAGGTTTGTACATGAAAACTACTAAGGACTTGGGGCTAAATTTCACGGTGCTGCTAACCACAGAATTCCGGGCTTACGATCACCATTCTGTTCTAACAGCGCTAGCAGAAAAGTCTGTGCTAACCGTGTAAGGCAAAAAAAAAAGTCTCAGGTTTCTGGTATGTGCGCGCGTCGCTGTAGCCATGCGCATCGGCAAAATAAAAAAGTTTTTTTTTTCAATGTAAAATAATGTCTCAAAACCGCCAAACTCACTGGTTTGACTGGAATCCTGCTGCTGCACAATTTTAACATGTTTTTAGATGGGGTTACGATCGAGTATAAGCTTTATGATGCCTCTCTGGGCTCCAATACATTTTGCACTAAATTTAGTCACCATTTGCAGTCATCAGCCGACCTTTGAAGAAAAAAAAAGTAAAAAAAAAAAGCCGCGTCGCCGCACCACTTCTGGGGCAAGCTCCATACCAGAAACCGGAGACTTTTTTTTGTTGGCCTAAGCACAGAATCCTTAGTTTTTGTATGCCTACGCAGAAGCCAAAACGCCTCATTAACCTTTGAAATATGCTAACCGTAATCATAGAATTTTCTGCTAATAGTAAGCAGAGCATGACATTTGGCCAAGGTCCTCACGTTACTGTTTTCTTGGGTACCTTTTTGTTCCATGTCCTTGGTCGTGTACAGTGTGTTGTGTGTTGTTCCCCCAAATACATTTATATAGCTTTTACAATCATTTATTGTCTGTTGAACCCGCAGATGGTTGGCATAGGCACCAGACAGATCGACTTGACCCAGTACAGCCACACCTTCTGCAACATGCTGGGCAGCGACCCAAACTCAGAGAGTTGCGGCCTGTCATACACAGGCCGATTCTACCAAGGAGGGGGCCAGGGAAAAGCCTACTGCAGTAAGTTTGGCCAGGGAACGGTCATAGGCGTACACCTCGACATGTGGTTTGGGACCCTGACATATTACAAGAACGGCAAATGCCTAGGTGAGATCAGATCGAATATTGTAGATATTTTGTTTTCACAAGTTACCCTCCTGCTATTTAAACAGTCACAGACAGTCAAAATGTCCATCCGCCTGCCTTACTATACATTTAACACATACTAGTCACCAGCAGTCAGATCATATGTCAAGCAAGCACTGTGACTAGTCAAACTCAGTCAACAGACCATGAACAGACGAAGCAGGCAAGTTGTTCGCACAGCTGGCTTATCAATTACACACAGTCAAAGCAAAGCTGTATCAAGTTACACAAACAGTCACAGCCAGACTGCTTTATGTAGGCTGGGAGCTCTTACCTGTTGAAAACAGTCACGTGATTGATTTTGACTGCAAGGACAACTTGGCACAGAATGTATGTTTGCATAGGAGGGATAAAAAAGTGTTGTTTAGGCCAAAAAAAAAAATAAGTCGGTCTCTGGTCAGCGCGCGCGTCGATTTTAATCATGCGCGTCGATCTTTTTTTTTTCAAAATGTTCCGCGGTAGCTCCAACAGCGCACCTCCTCTATTTCCGCACCTCCTCAATTTTTTTTACCAAAGAGCACCAAGGAATGGGAAATTGCACCAAGGCAAATGATCGAAAGCACCAAGGCAAATTATGGAGGCCACCAATGTACATGAGGACACCAAAAAAGCAAAATAGTACCCCACCTTGACTGTACAATCCAAGCTTGAAGAAAAAAAAAAAAAAAGCAAAAAAAAAAAAAAAAGGCACGTGGCCGCGTCAATTCCGGAACTATGATCTGACCAGAGACCGAATATTTTTTTTTTTGGCATTATATACATCAACAAAATTGTATGGTACTGAATTAAGATGGTGGACAAATTCAATGAACTCGATGCATTGCATTTAATGGACACGGATGAAGCTTGCTTTAACTTGGTTTGTAATTTACTTTATTTATTGAAAAAATTGGAAAAGTTTAAAATTGTGGGTTTTTTCCTCATTACTCTGTAAGACACACATGTTATTGTTTGATTGAAATTTGGAATTGTAATCATGTCCTCACAAGTCCTCACAAGGCAATCCCAAGTCATCCAGTTTCAAGTCAAACTTTCAAATGAACTTTTGCTTTGTCCATTCTTCCTTTGTTACTTGTGACTGTGTTTGTGTTTGACTTGTGATTTGACTTGCGATGCACTTGTCCTTAGACTTGTCATATACTTGTGATTTGACTTGTGATGGGCTTAACTACATGTTAACTTTCATGTTCCTCTACGCAGGTGTTGCCACCAAGGGCCTTCTGGGCAAAGCCTGGCACCCCATGATCAGCTCCACGGCCGCCCGGTCCAGCATGTGCCTCCAGACGGCCCGGTCCTTCCCCTCCTCCCTCCAATTCTGGTGCTGCCGGACCCTGCGACGCGCCGTCCCCACCGAACACAACGTCATCGAAGTCCTGGATTTCCCCCCAGGCATGAGGGCGTTCCTTGAAGACAACCTGCTGTGGCTGCTGGATTCGCACTCCAGGGGCGAGGTGGACGTGGTGACCAAGAGCACGCAGACGGACCTCAGCATGGCCACCCACCAGCTCAGTGACGTACCCTTGAAGAAGAGGCCTGCACCAGACACGGGGGAAGATGATAAATCGATGCCCCCCAGTTAGTGAATTCTGAACAAGCCTTCACAACTTTTATCACTATTTGTAGTAAACCATGGAGCAATTTCAGGCAAGGACCATCGGTTAACTAGTAGTTGATTTGTGATTTATGATGCGTACAGCTATTGGTAACCAGTGATGCAAACGTGCCCTAGTGCTCGAGTTCCAAATAGTTGACTAGAATAGTCCCAACCATCCTTCGTTCGAGGGAGCTTAGTCAAACTATGGTTATTTCTAACACACCTCTCGCTTGTTCTTTATCCTGGTTGGCTGAAACGCGGTCACGTGTGATTCACTGATATAGGCTAGTGTATGAAACTTGTGTCAGTGTGAACTAGCCGCGCGTCGAGACATTGCGCGCACGTAATTTCCAGAGTATAGTGCCTGATCGGGCACTATACTCAAAAAAATTTGACTGGTAACAGCGCCCTCCGACAAAATACAAACTCCAAAATGTAATCTAGGGAAACTAAAAGTGTTCCTTTAATTGCTGAATTGCTTACGGTTGAATTGCCTATGAGCTAATTGTTGGATTAAAACAGTTCAATAATAAAATCTTGCAAACTTTCTTTTCTTATTTTATATTTTGGACAGAGGTGAGTTATAAAACACTATGGACTGGCATAATTCGGTCCCTAGTGCACGTCTATGCCCCCCGGGCCTGTGAGTGACCAGAAGAGGGTCCTATTCCCCTCGGCCACTCCCAGTCCCTCGAGGCGCATAGACGTGCACTAGTGACCTTATTGCCAGTCAATATGTGTATACTATAGTCGCACCCCAACTTGCCGAGTGCTGACTAACCTTAATCAAACCCAAGTCAGTTGATGATGGTTAAACTACTCTACTGGTCTTGACCAGCCAACTAGGCTTGGTCACATTTCTGGTCATCAGTAGCTGTGTGTACCATAATGCATAGCAAGTATAATGCATTTTATTCTTTCGTTGACTGGTGTTTTACTTATTTTACTTTTCAACTGGCTTCCAACACAATCATCTGTGTCGGTGTAATTTTGTGTTAACGTGAGCAGTGCCAGTTTTGCTCTTTCATAGTCGCAGGCTCTGCAAAACAATCCAAGTTCACAAGTACATACATCCTCAGTGTGGTGAAACAGAGACACATAATGGGCACTTGCATGTCATTGCCATCGTGCACGCACACTTACGAGGCATGATGGATAAGTTTGTGGCCGAATAAACAAGTCTTGGCTAGTACTACAACTGTTCACTTAGTTTCAAAAAGTAAAATTTCCCGGTGAATTTGCTCTCCGATTCTAGGCCCTTTCTATCAAGCTTCAAGCATCTCCCTACATAGTAATAATGAGTATAATAATGTGACGAACACTCCCTGAATTATTTTGTGTTTTCTGCAAATGAAAGTAACAGTATTTTTTGGCAATATTATGTGTACATAAGCAACCATGTTTGCAACTTTTTAGTTAATGTTTCAGTTATATATAATTCGTCATTTTTTTGGCCAATATTTTTGTCCAGTTTAAAGCTATAGTCCATCATTTGCAGCCATCCGAAAAGTAACTGGCGTAATCATTGTTGAAAAACATACTTGGTTGAAAGATAGTAAGGGGACTAAATTCCCTGTGAAATTATTCTTTCTGGCAAGCTGTCATTTTGAAGTAATCAACGAAAGAAGGCCTTTCCAACGGTGCGTCTTAAGATGCACCGTAGGAAAATTTAAATTAGTAGTTCGTTTTGTTATTCGGCGAAGCGCGCGCAAGCATTGGCACGACGCACACGCGTGCGCGCTTGCTATAATTCGTCGGATCAGTGCGCGACATCGCGTATAGCTACAATCGGCTCAGTGAGAACGCGTCTCGGACGCTGAATTTAAGCAATTCAAAACATGATTCAGCAACTTTTGATTTGAAATTGAGATCCTAGAATGCTGTTTATCTCAAAATATACAGCTGAAGCTGAGCTCAAACTTCATCAGGTTAGTTGTTCTGTACCCTTCTTTAGATTTTGAACACTTTTGTTGCTTCAAACGAACAAAATGCACAAATTACAAATGATGGACTATATCTTTAAAGTAGTTCAAGTACCGTAATGCAGTTTTAGTGTATTGATGTGGCTTGGACATGTACATGCCAGAAACATTCACATTTTATTGTAATATTTCATGTTGTCATCGAGTGGTCAATGCAGTGCCAGTTACTGTGCAGACAAACACTGCTTACATTTTACATCTGAAAGTACAAGTGGCATTGCTTCATTATGTCCTAGTTGTAAAATCTAACTGCTGAATGCAATCTTGATATCAAATATTGAATTGATATGGTGTCTAAAAATACCAACAACTGAAAAACTGTCATTATATTTTTCTTAAAAATGTGTAATGCCATAAACATGCTTGACATGGATAACTGTTCGGTGAACTAAAATTGACCTATTTGGGTTCTCTGATGAAATATTAAGCATTATAGTAGGCCCTAAATGTACCTGTGGGCAGTTCTTATCCGTGGTACGTTGTACATTCATGTATAGTGTTCATACTTATATTAACTGGGTGATTGACACAAATATGTAAATAAAATATCTGTTCTTGTAAATGCAGTTCAGTCCATATGAGAGCTTTTGTCAGGTGTGCTTGTGTAGAGGCAAACTTTGACATTTCCTAAACAATGGATGCCTCTCAGCTTAGGCTGCAGTATCCGGAGCTTTAAATTTAGGTCCATGGTCTGCTTCCTGAACATCAAATCCCATGGGCTCTGTGCGCAAGTACCCCCTCATCAGTTACAAAAGCAGAGTTGGGGGAGACCACTGGGAAGGACTGACATTCAAATGCATTGCTAACAACGCCAAGACACACAAGTTTACGTTACATACCTAGTGTGGACATTCCTTTGTTTTCGTGAAGTTAAAAAAAACCTGGTAAAAAAATCATTTTACTCACACTGAAAACACTTTCAACCCAAATTTGTTCTATGATTCCCTTCAGTGTTTCTCTTCATTTTGCCACAGATAAACCTAACCCCAAAATTCCTCTAAACCTGTTTTCCAGAGAGGGGGAAACATTGTGTGCACGTGGGCAAGTCCACACAACGACGCTGCTACCTGGTTTATGTGGACATCTTTTGTTCAGAAGTCCACACAGTGAATATAATGCTTGTACACCTGGCACTCATTCGAAGGCGCTTATGGACTTGTGCACATTCAGATATAAAATTTGTTGTGCACACTTTGGGCCACACGCGCATGAACCAGTACGCGCATGCGTGGTGTCTTATCCATTGGGCTCTCGACAGTGGCCAAAATCGCCCTCTACAGTTCGTGCGTTGTGTGAGATCACGTTTTTCGGCATTTTCATGATTTGCTTTGGACATAAAAAGCTTCCGATTGATTCGAAGCCCACCCCACTTTCTCGGCCCCGCCCCCCTCTCACCAACCAAACAAGACAAGTTTATATTTTCCTTCCAAAAGTATACTTTCCATTGTCTAGTGCTGTACAATTTTGAATAATTAGTATTCCATTATTGGAACTTGGATTTGATCGAATATTTGAATATTCAAATATTAATATTGAGGTGTATATAACATCAATATATTTTTTTGAGAAAGCTTACTACATGTATTTGATATTTGACAGATTTTAAAAAATCCAAATTTGGGCTAAAAACCATTCACCTTAAATGTCTCTTTTTGCGACGGCTCACTTTTTTCCTAATTTTCTATGTGGTTAATGCTATTTGGATATTACGTACAGGGTGAGTCAAAAAAGCAAAACCCACATGTTGGGACTATTGATTTAGTTAAGTTCTGCATGTAGCACTTTGAAAATCAAGGATATAAAAGCCCAATTCATGACCTTTCTTTTAGTACAAGAATCATTCAAATCACTCATGTACTTTTCAAGTTACGGAGTTTTAAGCACAACCACCGTTTTAAAGTTCTGTCAACGGATCACAAAAAAAAGTGTTCGTTCTTTCAGCAAAACGAAAACCATTCACCCACATCCCTATGAGATTTGTTTTCGTTTTGCTGAAAGAACACTTACCTTCTTGTGATCTGTGGACAGAACTTTAAAACGGTGGTTATGTTTAAAATTCCGTAACTTGAAAAGTACATGAGTGATTTGAATGATTCTTGTACTAAAAGAAAGCCTATGAATTGGGCTTTCATAGCCTAGATTTTGAAAGGGCTACATGCAGAACTTCACTAAAACAATGGTCCCGACATTTGGGTTTCGCTTTTTTTTTTTTTACTCACCCTGTATTTTCGTCACAGCCCTGGTGTTGTCCGACTGGATTCTGCCTCTTCCCTAAAGAGTGTGATTCTTCATTCTTATATATTTAGTCAGGGAGAGGGGCAGAATTCAATGGGTGTGCCATCGCATAATGAACATTACACCAAAACAATTAACAATTTTCAGAAAAAAATTTGAATGGCATGCATTTCTTTATTATAAAGATAACAAATCGTAACAAACGAGGCATTTCTCATTTTCTTGATATATGACACTGAAATACAAAATTACAAAAACAAAATTGGAAAACTTTCCTGTACAATATAAAATTACATGGAAAATACAAGAGATATACGTGAAATAACTGACAGATTATCCAAGTAAAAATGTACATGCTGGCTGCACTGATGTTAAAAGAAATTTGGAAGACAAGGAGGCTAGTTTTACAGTACTACGTTTTTGAGTAGTAATCTTTTGTTACATTAGCAACATGTATCTGCACAGTCAAAGGGATCCCTGATTCTGAACAAAACCAATACAACCTGATTACTTTAGACTTTGAGAAATGCATTGAAAATTCCTGAGGTCTTTGGCAAACTTAGCTTCGGAAAAAAAGCTCACAGGTCCAGATCTGACTGTCTTGATGTCATGAGTGTGTGGATTCTCTTGGATAGCTCTGGGCCAACCCTCTGTGTTGTTGTAGCAAGCTTACAGGTCCAGGTCTGGTTGTCTTGATGTCATGAGTGTGTGGATTCTCTTGGATAGCTCAGGGCCTACCCTCTGTGTTGTTGTAGCGAGCTTACAGGTCCAGATCTGACTGTCTTGATGTCATGAGTGTGTGGATTCTCTTGGATAGCTCTGGGCCAACCCTCTGTGTTGTTGTAGCAAGCTTACAGGTCCAGATCTGACTGTCTTGATGTCATGAGTGTGTGGATTCTCTTGGATAGCTCTTGGCCTACCCTCCAGGTTGTTGTAGCGAGCTTACAGGTCCAGGTCTGGTTGTCTTGATGTCATGAGTGTGTGGATTCTCTTGGATAGCTCAGGGCCTACCCTCTGTGTTGTTGTAGCGAGCTTACAGGTCCAGATCTGACTGTCTTGATGTCATGAGTGTGTGGATTCTCTTGGATAGCTCTGGGCCAACCCTCTGTGTTGTTGTAGCAAGCTTACAGGTCCAGATCTGACTGTCTTGATGTCATGAGTGTGTGGATTCTCTTGGATAGCTCTTGGCCTACCCTCTGTGTTGTTGTAGCAAGCTTACAGGTCCAGGTCTGGTTGTCTTGATGTCATGAGTGTGTGGATTCTCTTGGATAGCTCAGGGCCTACCCTCTGTGTTGTTGTAGCGAGCTTACAGGTCCAGATCTGGTTGTCTTGATGTCATGAATGTGTGGATTCTCTTGGATAGCTCAGGGCCTACCCTCTGTGGTGTTGCAGCGAGCTTACAGGTCCAGGTCTGGTTGTCTTGATGTCATGAGTTTGGGGATTCTCTTGGATAGCTCAGGGCCAACCCTCTGTGGTGTTGCAGCAAGCTTACAGGTCCAGGTCTGGTTGTCTTGATGTCATGAGCGTGTGGATTCTCTTGGATAGCTCTGGGCCAACCCTTCTAGTTGTTGCCAGAACACCTTCACCTCTTCTTATCTGCAAAGTTAAGTTATTAAACATGTTACTAAGCATTCTACATCTTCTTTTCAGTACGACTGTGCACAACACACTACTATACAGTCGACACTGTAATCCCAATTGATTATTTGTATTATCTCTGGCAAGAAGTGATGCTTCAGAATCTTGCTTGTTACAATAAACCAATAGGAATGGGTAACTGTCTTAGGTATTTATGAATACAAATGTAGTTAGTGAAATGATTAGGCCAATGAATTTGAACTTACCACAATGTCTTGAAGTACTTTCCTTGCTTCTTGAACAGAATCGCATCTGGCATATGCCTGGTTGGAAACGCAACAAAGTCGCATCATTAGTTTCAAGGTGTGAATGCATATAATTAATGAAATTTACAGTGTCATTAAACTCAAAATCTTCCTTTAAACTACACTTTGGCTGATTAAAACAAACTTTTGATATCAGACCACAAAGCTATCAATGAGAAAAAGAGAGTGGTATCACGGATAAACACGCAACGAGCGAGGCTGGAAATATCTGTCAGTGACCCGCTCGCAGCGAGCGAGGCCAGAAATATCAGGGTGTGCTATCTGCAGATGATGGCCTGAACCCGTCTGGCATCGAGGTTTGTGAAAAACAATCCCGCGCCTGGGTCCGGTCACTGTCAAAATAATCCCGGCGCGAACTGGTAGACTGTATCACGTATGAGTTGTGCAGGATTCGGAGACTTTTCCATGAGTTTGTATTCTGGAAATATCAACTTCCCAGGCTCCCAGTAAAATAACAAAATGTGACTTGTCCATGACTTTCCATGATTGTTTTAAATTCCAGGATTTTTCCAGGATTTTGCCATGACTGTGGAAATCCTGAAAGTGGCACGTACAAACCTGTAACAGTTGTCTTGGCGAGGGGTACACAGCGATGATGGAGTTGGCCACCTGGGGACTGACGTTGCGGAACTGCTGCAACTGCTGTCGCCACACCCTACGCAGACCCTGGCCGTCCTTCTTGACCTTGACGCCCCCGGCCCACTCGGTGTCAACATGGAAAGAAAAGGTGGCTTTGTCTCGCTCCCTCCTAGTAAAAATATCACAAAGGGTGCAGTAGTATACAAATATACCATGCTTTGAGGGTGGCTGTATGATATAGACTATCCACCCAAAATAAACCGTGTTATATTTGTTTTACTACACCTCAGTTAGTCCACTGTTTGTTTGCAATCAGTTACACATCCATGAATGGGTGAAAGCCACCTTGTCTGGTTCCCTGACCTGACAATTCCCAGACGTCAATAAATTGCTCCGTTTTGTCTGAAGTTAGGGACATGGATCAAAACTACAAGAACAGCATTTTTTTTGGGGGGGGGGGGTTGGGGGGGGGGGTCCAGCAGCTATGATCACAAAAAGGTAAACAAGTCAGTACAATAATTTCTATAACGGTCAGAGCATACTGACCGAAACGTCGAGTTTATACCTCTGGCTCTTTTCAGAACCATTCTCTTAGTTGAGAAATTATTCGCACATTGTGTTTCCGCAAACCTTTCATTATTTAGTATCTCCACCATGCAAAGCCTCAAATCTTACTTAATTTCTATAAAGCACTAACCCCCAAATTCATCTTTTTTTGAAATTTACAGCAAAAGCAAATGTTGTATATTACCTTTAAAATAACAAAACAAATAAGAGTTTTCTCTTTCAAGAATGAAGACAGGCTAATTATACACCGACTGTTCATGTATTTGAACAACAGTGGGGGTAAATAGTTGTGACTTACTTGAATGGCGTCTCCGCCACTGACTTAGTAACCATGGCAACCAGATCAGCTACTTCAGCAGGTGTCTCCACAAAGCGCACGTTGCATCCTACGTGTAGCTGCAAGTCAACTAATGCCTACAAAGATTAGAAATGTGAAAATATGCCAGGTTAAAGAACAAAATGTTATTTCAACTACTGACTCCGCACAAGAACAGCAGATGATACTGTGTGACAGCTCAACAGGTCGGTATGCTGGGGGGAGGGGGGGGGGGGTTTGAATGACAACAACACCCCCCCCCCCCAAAAAAAAGTCTCAGGTCATGAAACAGGCCTGCTCAAGATAGCTCCAATGTATATTGGGGGGGGGTTGAGGTTTGAATGACAACAACACGCCCCCCAAAAAAAGTCTCAGGTCATGAAACAGGCCTGCTCAAGATAGCTCCAAGATAGCTCAAAGAAGTGTGACACAGTGTGCATGCACTGGTTTTTGCACTGGTTTCTGTAAGCACGATCTGGAGACGAGTAAAAGTCGGAGACAAGAAGTAGACAATGGGCTAACGAGATTGAGCAAAAACTTGTTTCAAGACCTGTCTCAAGACCTACAAAACTGTTTTCGATGACATATTAAAGGGATTTATCCCAAAAATAACCAACCAAATTATTATCAAAGCTCTTGGATTTAAGATTGTACTGATACTAATCACCCCGTGATATTATTCCGTCCGGCTTGCAGTCGTTAAGAAGAAATGAAAAAAATGTGGGTGACTTCCAACAATCCGTTAATTGACTGATTATTGGAAATGAGGAGTGCTATTGACGAAATCATGTTTCGTGATCAAAAGGTTGTGCATGGTAATTCACTATTTTCTCAAAAAGTGTAATACCCACTGAGCTGAAACTTCAACAGGTTAGGTTTTGAACAGTCTTCTTTGGATTTGGAGTGGTGATATTATTGAATACGAATGAAACACATCAAGAGCAAGTGATCCTTTACAGGGTGACCCAAAAAAAACGCAACCCTAAAACAGTTGCATTTTAAAAAAAAAAGGATCAGTGGATTTTTATGTTTTTGGTATCAGATTGAGAGGTTTTTCTTTTCAATACTGAAAAAAATCATGAAAATAGCACTTTGGGTTGCTGAGAAAATTCTGATTATGTAAAAGTAGTCATTTTTCATCCTGTACACAAGTACTTCAAACAGTGAAACATAACTGTAAGCCTACTGTGCAATTATTCTTCATTTGTGCAATTTCTTTAATATTTTGACATAGTTATGATGCCGAAAGGGTTTAAAATAGGACTAAAAAGGATGAGATACCTGTTCAGGTGGAAAATTAAAGGTATTTCCATCAAATTAATTTGTACTCTTGTTATTATTATGTGCCTTGCTGTAAGGATTAGAACATGTACAAATAGGTACAGTGAAAATCCCTTACTGTGGTAATGTTTTGTTCACAGGATGAAAAATGACTACTTTTACATGATTGGAATTTCTCAACAACCCAAAGTACTATTTTCATGATTTTTTCAGTATTCGAAAGAAAAAGCTCTCAGCTTTAATTTGATACCAAAAACATAAAAATCCACCGATCCCTTTTTTTTTAAAGGCAAACGTGTTAGGGTTGCATTTTATTTGGGGTCACCCTGTATGCAGGCAACTCACTTCTTCCACGTCCACCCTGGTCACAACGGTGGTGATATCTTCAATGGGTCGTTTCTTGCGACGCGCCTTGGCGGCGTTTTCAGTTGGCTCGTTGCCAAGGACGGCCGATCGGAAGTTCCGCTGCCTCGAATTCTTCTGCAACCTGTGCAAAGAATCCGAGGAGTACGTCGAGAATGTTTGTACACTTACTACACATAAATACGTGTCTGGTTATAAATATTTAATTCTTATCCTTCAAGTTGATGATTTTGTAAATGGAATGTGATGGAATATCAGATGTCCTAGCAGAGGGGGGGGGGGGAAGGGAATTGGCACATACAAAAAAAAGGATTAGTTTCTTACCTGCAATTTCATCTTCTTTTCAAAAGAAAAGACAAATATCCTTTATATAAAAGACGACGGATTAAGTGAAAGCAAACATAGACGAAGAAGCGGACAGCCATTACACTTTGTTTCAATCTTCTTTTCATTTAATCTGTGTAAAGTGCTTTGGGACGTCAGTGTAAAATGCCATATAAGAACTGTTTTATTATTATTAATAATTATTTATAAATACCTAAGACAGTTTACCCATTCCCATTGGTCGAGAGCCTGTCACGTGGCTGGTCTTAAACAGATGATAAAGACATGGCTGGCTGGTCTGAAACACTGTTCCAGTGTCACATGAAATTTTGGCTCCTATGAAATCCAGTGCTTTTTATCGTTTTATTGGTTGACCATTCACAATCCTCACGTAGGCATGCGCAATACTACCAGTGAGTCAGTATTTCATAGTCCTACATTCACAACACACTCATCACAGCTGCATCTGTGCGTCATCGCGCAGTACACGGAAAGCGCGCGCCAATCTCCATAAAGGGAGTCATTTACATCTTACTCGTGAGCTGGACACGCCATTATATAGCTAGGGGGGTGTTTCAACAAACAGAAAGTAAAATTGTTGAACAAAATCATTGGAAATTGTTTATTTTTGACTTGTTTTGACTTTTGGACAGAAAAGGTTTGATTTTTTGACTGAAAAGGTATTTATGAATGGGAATTTCGCCGAGGGTAATCATCAGCATTCCAGACTCCAACGAGTTGTAAACATAATGTTTAATGCCGACCAAGCACATATTTATTTCCTTATTATTATTACAGGGATACTCCAACTATCTTAATTTTGAAGGCATGTGAACAAAACAAGTTTTAAGTAAGAATGTAGGTTCTCAATTTTTCCCATCAGAATGTGTAGGGACCCGATCTGCTCCTCCCCACACAAAATTGTTGCACCCCTATTTTATTTTTGGAATAGTCCTACTAGCTAGTACTTGTACCTGCACAACATGTGGCCTACTTGTGGTCATTCTTGAATAAGACCACACTGAGAGAACATCATATTCATCTCTCCCTGTTGCAGGTATGTTGAAGATTATTCTTTTAATTTTGATACGTTCAAGTTGACAATACTTTTCACTTGTATATATTTTCTCTCTGTTAATGCATTTTAGCTGAACTAGATAACAGAATTAGCCATTGGATAAGGTTTTGATCTAGGAAGATACTGTGTTCTTGAGACATGTGAGATGGTGTTTAACTGAATAAGGATCATGGCTAAGTACAAGTTGAGAACAGAAGTAACAGTGATTTATCAGTTCTTTTCTAATTCAATTTTATACTTTTGTTACATTACTTTGTAGATTTCTTTATTAATCATCTCTTTAACTTTTATCTAGTTAGCATATAAGTTACTTTTAAATCTAGTATTAGAAGTACAGTATTTCCTGTACTGAGTGCACCTTTAAGTATTAATAGTTAAGATGAAATGGAAGTTATGGTTTGTCCCCAGTACTGAATTTAGACCACTTGATAGATAGAACGAGATGGAGTTAGAATAGAATAAGTATTGTAATTTTCACACTTTTCTGTGCAGTCTTTTGACCAAGGACATTTGTGTAAAGAGGAACGGTTTGTGTAGTGAAACAATGTTGCCAGTGATTATGCCTCAGGCACTTACACTGTTGAGCATGGGCATGGTAAAAAGTGTTGGTGCATAAATACTTAGTTGGCCAGAAACCCCCCCTGGGGTGGGACCACTACTGTATATAGAGGATTGCGGTCCAGCACCAGATGTTAAATCCATTATCTAAGACAGTAGTTCTTTGTTTAGATAAGGAGACCAGAGCTCAGTGCTACCAAACCTCTAGGCAATGTTTCCATGGTAACAAGACTTTTGGCCAGAAGAATTCTGCACGTTGTTACTCAATTGTTAAATAGGCTAGTCTTGTGTATTTCTACTATGGCCACACCAGTTATTTTAGTTGTTTCCATTAGCTATGTACATCTGTTATATCATGTTATATGTTTATTGAATAATGTTATTTCTATTGTGTATCATTGTAAAATGATTGATTCTTGAATAAGACCACACTGAGAGAACATCATATTCATCTCTCCCTGTTGCAGGTGTAACATTTGGCGACCTTGCCAGGACGGGTTGTAATTGGTAAGTCTCTTTTGAGAGGAGCCAGTTACACACCCATGCCTGCCCGAACACAGACATACATGTAACCATGGCGACGGAGCTGGAAGCAGTCCATAAGGAAGTTAACAGTGCCCTCTACCTTTTGACAACAGCACAACTCGAGGAGGTTGCGGGTAGCCTTGACGTGATTGGCTTTCAGCCTGACCTGCCTCACCTAAGGCTGGTAAAGCTCATCACGCGCCATCTAAACCGTGATGAGGTGGACGAGCAGCCGGATGGGGGACTGTCAATGCTCCAAGCCTTGAAGGAGACGCTTGGGAAGATGGAAGTTTCCAGCCCCGCCCAAAGTTCCCAGATGGGAACTGATGAGGCATCAACCTCTGAGGCCTCAGCACCCTCCCCATCGCCCGATCCAGTTCCAGCTGCTATGACCTCCCCATCTCCCAGTGCAGTTCCAGCTGCCATGACACTGCGCCGGGAGTTCAAGATTGCTGGTCAAATCGGGGAACCTGGCCAAAAGGATAAGCTGTCCTTCCCCAGTTTGATCCACCAGATCCAGGTTGGTGTTGAAAAGAAATACCCGCAGAAAGAGATCATCGCAGCAGTTATCAGAAGCATTATGCCAGGAGCCAAGCTTCGTAGCTACCTGGAAGGAAAGTCAGATCTGACACTCCCCACTCTCCGTCGACTGCTGAGATCCCACTTTAAGGAGAAGGATGCCACGGAGCTCTTCAATCAGCTGTCCCGCCTGGCCCAGGAGCAAAAGGAGTCTGCCCATACCTTCCTGATTCGCGCTCTGGAACTGCGCCAAAGAGTGCTGTTTGCATCTCAAGAAGCAGGTTCCACCTTCTCTTACGAGCCAGCGCTGATCCAGGGTGTCTTCCTCCACTCGGTACTTACGGGCCTGCGGGATGCCAGCGTCAAGGCAGAGATGCGTCCTCATCTTGCCGACAAGAGTATATCTGATGAGGACCTCTTTGAGCATCTTAATGTTGCGGCAACCAACGAAGAAGAAAGCCGGTCGAAACTTCGGAAAGGTAGTTCTTCTCAGGATGCCCGGGTTGATGCGGTTGAAGTGCAGAGTGAGCAGAATAGTCCCCCAAAGAAGTCCAATCCCCTTGTCCAGGAGGTCCGTGACAGTACAGCTGATATAAATCTGCTAAAGGCCCAAATAGCAGAGATCCGAGAGGCTGTGATGAGTCTGAAACCAGGTCAAGCCTCAAGCCGTCCCAGCCCTCCGCCCCGACCTTACGGATGCCGGTCCTGTAGGCAAAGTGGTAATGGGCCATCCTGCTCACACTGTTTTAAGTGTGGCTCATCGGAGCACTTTGCAAGGGGGTGTCGTCAAAGGAGAGGACCTTCGGGAAACGCCAGTGGACTACCGCCGAGGGACGAGCAGTAGTCGGAGAAGGTCAGGAGTCCCAGGGTACAAGAAAGTCCAAGTCATCCCTTTGTCCAGAAAACCAGGTGCGAGTCTGCCATCTTACACCGAAGCAGCATCACAAAGTCGTTAGACTTGTCGGTAGAAGATGCACAGTTAGTTGCTCCCTCCAAGGAGTTCGCACTGACGCGTTATGGGACACTGGGGCCCAAGTTTCGATTGTACCCCTCGGTTGGATGGAGCGGAATCTTCCAGAACTTCAGTTACGAGCCATTGAGGAGCTGATGGAAACGGGTGAGCAGTTCAATCTTGCAGCGGCAAATGGAACTCCCATCCCGTTCAAAGGATGGGTGGAGTTAGAGTTTAGGTTGACTGGGGAGACGGCATCGCCGCCAGGAATGACAGTTCCTGTCCTCGTCAGCACAGATGAGATTGAACGACCCATCATCGGCTACAACGTAATTGAGATGTTAGTGAAGACGGAAGATTCCTCTGCATCCATCAAGTCAGCCTTTCCTGGGCTTCGACCCGCTCAAGTGGCTGCGTTAGTGGGCTTCCTCCATACCAACGACCCAGATGATTTCTGTGAGGTGAAGCTGGGAAAAAAGGATGTGGTGATTCCAGCTGGAGAGAACATGGTAGTCACTGGGAGTGCACATCCAGGACCAGTAACTGAAGACTTGACGGTTCTTTTTGAGCCTGATGTCCAACGCTGCTGGCCGGATGGTCTGCAGATGGATGAATCAGTTGTACGTGTTCCAAAGGGTTCCTTCTGCAAGGTGTGCATCCTAGTCTGCAACCATAGTAAGAGTCCTGTCACGCTCAAACAGAAAACTGTACTCGGCAGACTACAACTAATCCATTCCATCATCCCCGGTGAGATACAGCCTGACATCCCAGCCACGACTGACCAAACAAAAGTAGAAGTGTCCTCTGTTCAAACCAGTGGGGACAAGTGGAATCCAGAAGTAGATCTCCTTCATCTTCCTGAGAAACAGCGAAAAGTCGCAGAAAAGATGTTGGAAGATGAGTGTCAAGCCTTTGGAAGAAATAAGAGCGACACTGGATGTGCGCCCGACTTAAAGATGCGGATCCGCGTACATGATGAACAGCCAGTGCGGCGCACTTACTCCTCCATACCAAGTCCCTTGTACAGCGAGGTTAAGAATTACATTCTTGACCTCCTCAGTAAAGGCTGGATCACCAAATCTCAGTCCCCCTATTCATCACCTGTAGTTTGCGTACGCAAGAAGGATGGAACACTTCGCTTGTGTGTCGACTACAGAGAACTCAACAA